AGGTGACTGCAAAGAACTGCCCACCCACCACCCCACAGAATGGTGAGAAAATAAAATATTTGCTGTTCTAAGTCACAAAGTGGTGGAATTGCTTGTTATGCAGCAAAAGCTAACTGATACACCCAGGAGGTAGGGTGGACAGGGCAGCTCTTACTTTGTGTCGGCTGAGTCCATGAGGCCCGAGGGTTGGCTCCCGTGGGTGAGAGAAGAGCCGCCGAGGTCCCACATCCTGAATGAAAGTGGGAGAAGCACGTTGGGTTGGGGTCTGTAACCAAGCTCACCCTTGATTCAATTCCACGGCACAGCTGTCACCGGGGAAGTCAGCACCCTCCAGGAGAGGGCAAACTCTAGTGTATGGGGGCAAACTCAGCCAGCAGGGTGGGACAATGAGACAGAATAGGTACCCAGTCCCAGGGGGGTGACTGTACCTGGACCCCAGAGGGCTGTGAGAGTGTGTGGCCCCAATGGGGCCAGGGCTTTGGAGTTTTCAAGGCAAGCGGGGCATCCAGGTTGTGTGAACTCCTGTGGTTTTTTTATGTTGGCACTGGCATTTATTTCGGTTATTTTTTTAAAAACCCACTGTGGGCCAAACACAACACAGGTGGCCAGTCTGCAACGTCTGGCCTAGAGGGAATCACAGAAGGGGCAGCTCTCCAGGGACAGAGACATGAATCGCAGAGGGGAGGAGGGGGAGGAGGACAGAGAGACAGAGCGGAGGCTGAGCCCTGTCTCTAAGGAGAAGCAGAAGTGTGGCTGCAGGCCTCTCGGGAGAGAAAAACTGACTGACAGGAAGCAGGGTTTGATGATGCGCAGAGACAAACAGACAAGAGACTTAAGGGCAGGGACTGTGTCCAGCACATTCCCCGCTGTCTCCCTAATGCTTGGCCTGTCACCATCAGTACTAGAGAAATGTCGGTTTGGAGAGTGACTTGCTCCCAAGGGACAAAGGGCCACAGCAGCCGGCCTTTGGGAGGGCTGCCCCCAGGGCGGCCAGGTACTTACTGAGGGGTAGTCGAAGCCATAGCTGTCGGGCAGCCCTGGATCGGGGGGCAGGCGGGCGCTGGTGAGGGGGCTGAGCAGGCGGGACTTGAGCTGGAAAGCTTTGCTGCTGCCACCACCTCCAGGGGCTGGGGGGTTAGGCAGGGGGCCCTCAGCTGGGCGGCGGCTTCTCCCAGCGCCTCCCCAGCCCCGGGCCTCCTTACCCGCCAGATTGCTGGCTGGGAGCAGGCTGTGTAGGTTCAGGTAGGGATTCAGGGGGATCCGGAAGTCCTTGGGAGGCTCCCCCAGCAGCGAGACCTGTGGCAGGAGGACCGGGTTCACGAGGGCCCCTGGCAAGGGGGCCCTCGCAAGGCAGGGGGCTGGAATGGTGCCGGGTGCAGGCAGGGCCTTACCCCAGTGGGCGTTGGCAAAGGCCCCCTGTCCTTCTGCAGGCCTCTGAGACCAGTGCCTCGAAGCCCCACAGGAGCAGGGGGTGGAGTGAGTTGGGGTGCTGGGGGACCCAGGCCCATGGGTTCCCGGTCACCCCCAGAGGGGCCAAGCAGTGGTGGCAGCAGGGGTGGTGGCTTCCCTCGCCGGGGTGGCAGCTCCGGGGGCAGGCCCCCTCCTACAGAGAAGAGGAGGGTGTCAGCAGCCCAACCACACAGGCCACCTCCTCCCAGGGCTCTACAGCCTCCACTTGGACCAGGGCCAGCAGCGGGGGGGGCAACTACGTGTTGGACACTGAGCAGGGCCCTCAAAGTGCATCAACTCCCAGATGTTCATGGCTCCCCAGGGAGGTGCGTACCCACACACTCAACTGACAGGCGAGGACACTGAGACCCAGAGGGGTTAGGTCACTTGCCCAAAGCTGCAGAGCTGGGAATTTACCACGCCCAGTGAGGAGAGGGGCCCAGAGGGGAAGTGGGGTGGGGCCCACAGAGATGGGAAGGAGCAGGGTCTGCATTACCTGCAGACAGCTCCCCGAGGAGGGGGCTGGCCGGCTGGGCCCCAGACTGGAGGGTGCCTAGGGGAGAGTCTCCCAGGATCCCAGGTTTCTAGGGACAGAGCACAATCAGCTGGAGACGAGGGCAGTGGGTCACAATGCCCAGCACACCGAGACTCCAGCCCACAGCCAATCACAGGCAGACACACCGGGTGTCTCCCAATGTCTGTGATAGCCTGGCCATCACCCACCCAGCCGATGG